CTTGCGTAAAACTAACTGTAAATACAAAGTAAGTATACACATTCATAGGGTATTAATATCGCGTATCTTTTTTTTGTAACTTCTACGTATTCTTCGTAACATGTTCGGCGAAGTGTGAGGTTGCGGACAAAATTTTGTGCAAAAAGCAAGAAAAGGTATGTGTGGACGAGGAAACATACGTCGAAGCAGCCTTTAAGCAGGTTCAGGGCGCTGAGCTTTATAATGCAATGAAGACAAATGCAGTCCAAGATGCCTTCAAGCTAAAAATGTTGGACAAGCTCCTTGTTTTTTGTTATTTTTGGCCTAATATATACTTGGTGCGGTTAGCCATCTGCCAGTGCGGCACGAGCAAAAAATTTATTATCAGGGGCTCTAAAACTCAAGTAATTTATATAAAGAAGTGTTTACAATAACGTTTGCTGACGTTCATAAAGCAACATAAAGGCTCAGTTCGATTCTGCCCCGATTTAGCATTGAGCCATTGCAGACCTCTTGCTATGAACTGGTATGTCAGATACGGGGTAGATAATGTTCGAAAGGACCACAACCCATCAAACTCTTCACAATGACGACCCGTTGAAAATTGTTGAAAGAAAATAGTTAAAAACGAAAGAAGACATCTAAAATTAGCAGCATTTCGAAATTAATTGGCAGAGAGGAGCAGATATCGTCACAAAAACGGGTGTCCATAGCTTAATGAGAGGGCTCAAATGTAAAAGGCGCCATTTTGTTTATAATGAAGATGATTGAAAAAAAGTTTTTTTGTTTAATATAGTAAGCTTAATAAAGAAGATGATAAAACAGAAACCTTTTTTCTTAGATTGTGTAATATGTTGTTATAATGATTTTCGGCTGACCAAAATCTTTCGTGTCCATTCTTTATTCATTTATTATCGAGCTAGCATTTCCTGGTACTATTTTTGAATATATAGGCAAAAATTTGGAAGTTTCGCGTCGAGCGAATAAGAATCAAAAATTTTGTACGCCCAAGTATGATAGACATTTTATTTTATTATATTATATATTGTTTATAAACACTTGATGCCAATTAAGCGTAGCGCTTTCGACAGAAGAAATATTTTGATATGAAGCAAAATGGCTGTGAAAGCTAATTTAATTGCCATTCAAGAAAAAATATTGCCATTGAGCCACAGTCACTCCTTGACTTTAAAAAAATTGGCCAAAAATACTGTTCTTTGAAAAAACAGAACATGCAATATGCAACGGATATATTAAAAAAAAAAAAAAACATTTTTTGGATTTTTCATTATACTAATATTACAGATTTTGAGACGAGAAACACGATTCCACTGTTTAAAAAAGAAAAAAAAAAATTCAACCCCTCAATTTGAAAAATGCATTATATATGTATTGCATCCTTATATAGTGCATCCTTCACACAATTTTTATCCCTCGAACAAGTCGGTTTTAGTGCTATTCAAGACCTTTAATTTAAGCCAAGGTAGAAGTCTCTAGGCTTTGAGAACTAAATTATAACGACTCTAAAAAGATAGTTTCATTGGTCGTGGGAATGCTCTTCCCCTAAGAGACGGTACTGGTTTCATTAAGAAACGTACTGAACCATATGTCATCAGGTCCAGAAGATTTAGTCATGTTACTGCTAGAAGAGATTACTTCAGGGAAATTGTGATGCTTTACCATCCATGGCGAGACGCAGAGCGATTAGCGCGGCTAATTCCCGTAGAAGAACTTTTTCATTAGTGAAACGTCTAAACGTTAAGCAGAGAACGTATATGGGTGTTTCCAGCGGAAGGTCCACCACGACCAAAATGGTCTTCCTAGGTGGTGCCAAGGTCGAGATATTTCGAAAAACCGTATTTATGGTTTGATTTGGTTCGAATTTGGCGTATGTGGTTGAAACATAATAAATCATAGATTTCTAATTGACCCTGAATTGGCGCTGAAGTCAAAATATAAAGTATATTCTACATAAAATACATGTTTTATTTGCGTTAAAAATTCATTTAAAAGCAATATTAACAAAAATATAGCGACGGAAATTTATGTCACGTGACGCCACGTGTAAAAGAGAATTGAAACAATTTACATTAATTCAAAAAACTCTAAAAACAACTAGAATTGCTCCAAATCATATTAAAATAAGTTTCATGAAAATAGCCATCCACAATTCGCAGAGTTTTGCGATTTTGTAAGAAAAGAAAAAATCAACTTCCATTTTTTGTCACGTAACGACACTCTCTTTAAATGCTTATATTTCAGGACCAAGCAGTTCGATTGATTTCATTTTTCGGTTAAATATAGAGCTAATTATGTGCTATACAATGGCCCAAAAAAGTTAAAGAAAACAAATGGTATTCCTTTTTTGTATCACATTGAAATCGTACGACTGTCACGTGCGCCACCATGGGAATGCCCATATGACACATATGCTACACAAAATCAAAAAAAAAATTAACCATAGTTTTATCTCCGTACCTGGATCCAACCCGAGTTCCTTGAAAGTTTTGCTTAGTGCCCCTACAGGAAAAGCAGCATTTGGAATTGGTGGCTTAACACTACATTCTATATTCTCTCTACATGTGAATCAGTCAAATCGAGAGATGCGACCACTCAGTAACGATTTGGTTTACTCAATTTACTCCAAGCTGATTGATTTGAAGTTAATAATCATTGATGAAATACCAATGGTAGGAGCTAGAATGATTAGTTATATTGACTCGAGACTTAAGCAAATTTTCAAAAACAACAATCCCTTTGGAGGTGTTTCAGTGTTTCAATGGATTTTCTCTCCCAACCCCAGCGACAATTATAGCGCTTTGGTTGGTTCGCTCCTATGGCAGTTGTTTAAATATTTTAAGTTAACTGAGGTGATGAGGCAACGTGAAGATCAACCTTTTGCTATCGCATTAAATAATATGGTTTCCGGCATTATGACAAGTGCGGATATATCTTTAATCGAAACCCGAATAGTTTGCTTAAACCAAGTTCCCCATGAAGCCATTCATTTATTTTGGTCTAATGAAGAATCCAACAATTTTAATGCCCTTAAACTCAGTAAGATCTCAACTTCAGCCATTTTATCTACTGCCAAAGCTGTTGTTAAAGGAATTGGTATCGGTGGACAAACTTCAAGTATTTTAGAGGGTCAAGCTTTTTAAAAACTCTGAAACTCAGGGCCTGTCGTATAATTTGACATTGAAGACCACAGCCAAATACATGATCACTGTAAATATCAATACAGGTGATGGGTTATTAAATGATGCAACTGGCCAACTAATGCATATTGACTTTGAATTATCGATGCCATCAACTCTTTGGTTAAAGTTTTTGGAACCTTCAGTGGGTTTGATGGCTAGATCAAGAAAGTCGAATCCCAGTGATGCTTTGTGGACGCCAATTGAAAAAACAGTGATGACTTTTAAATATAAAGGGAATGAGCAAATCACTGTTGAAAGAAACCGATTTCCTGTTGTTCCAGCGGAGGGCATAACTATTCATAAAAGCCAGGGTGCGACGTATAACAAAGTGGTTGTACATATTCGAGCTGGAATGCCTAGAGCAGCATTGTATGTAGCCTGCAGTAGAGCCACTGGTGCTGATGGTCTATTTATCTTAGGAAATTTCGTGCCCCCATGTCCATTTACAGAATCGGACCCTGTATTCAAGGAACTGGTTGACTTGAAAACCTGAAAAGCCTTAACATCCACTTTTAGTTTCATGCCCTCTCGAACATCAAAGCTTCAAATATTATATCATAATACCCAGAGCCTTCATGCTCATATTGATGATGTCAGAAACGGTTATCTGATGTTGACTTCGGATATATTATGTTTTGTAGAGACACGGAGCTATCCCTAGGAAAATTTTGAAATTCCCGGCTTTAGTCAATTAAATTATCTAAGGATAGATAGCACTACAACGCGGAATAGAAATAAATGGGGCATTTTAATGTATGCAAACTCTGAAATGGCTTCATACATTCATCTTTGTAGAACCATTCAAAAGTATTCTCTCCGCAAAACTTTAGAAGCCATATTGTTTAAACACGATAATATGTATGTGCTGGTGCTTTACAGAAATTCAAATTTCCCTATTGGAGACTTGGAAGCAGAATTACATGACATTATCTGCAATGACTTTGAGAATAAGGAAATTATTATTCTTTGGACTAAAAAATTGGTTTTTTGCGTTCCTTTACCTTTTCCTGTTATTCTCTTTTAGTGAGCGCATTATGCTTACGCTCTTGCATTTTGACACTTTTCAGATTTAAGTCCGAAAAGATAATGAATGAACCTTTTGTTAAAGCCAGTATTCTCTGCTTATTAGTGATGGAGAACTATCGATGGGGCTATCGATAGTATCGATGGTTTCATTTTGCCGCCACTATCGAATTTTTCTAAACATTATCGATTGTTGTATATTGTTCACATTGTAGGAATTGGACTATAAAAGATGTTCTTCATGGTTTTTGTTATAAAATGTGTTATTGAAATACACGATACAATTTTGTTTTACAGAATATATTTTTATGTATACAAATAATCTCTATGGTTTTTCTAGTTATGAAATGGGTTATTTAAGAATAAGATTTTTTCCTGGCTTTTGATATCTTATATAGTAAAAGAAGAAACAAAGAAATTTACACGCGATGGGATCTGTCATATCACTTGCCAAATTTTTCTTTGACCATAAAAAATGGAATCAAATTTGCCGATTTACAAAATATTATGCCCAGTTTCACCAATCTATTTTAAATGTCAGGCCGTTATAATTTAAAATGACAATTTTTTTAGGAGATTGTGCTATTTAAATTTTAAGTTTGACACATTTTAAAATTGATTGGTGAAACCGGGCATTAGTGTTATATCTCAACATGTGTAAGAAAGATTTCGATAGTATCGATAGTACCGAATATTTTGCACTATCACTACCGAAACAACCGAATGTATTCACTATCGATAGTTTTCCAACACTACTGCTTATAAAAAGACTACAAATTTGACGATTTGCCAACTTACGTATCATTCTAAACGCACGCGCAAGGTATCGTAAATTAGAGGTTTACGCCGACAGGCTTTGCGGCGGCGCACAGTGTTTCGTGTAGAACAAGCTAGGTGGACAAAAACAAAAGTTTTATTCCTAGAATTTTGTATTGAGTAATTAATCATAAGACCAATATAACGGGGTATTTACACTTGTTTGTTATTTTCACTTCTAATATGTTGAGTAATTGAAGTAAGTAAGCAAGAGCAGTCGAAGTCAGAACTGATTTATTTGAAAAATTTGTTTTGAATATTACGCTTCATATAACTTTAAGTCACCACTTCTACTTAATTTTTGTGATGGAATCTGAACTCAAAGGTAAGCTGAAGTTTTTGATTATAATCTTTTGTCAATTTGATTATTTTTAGTATGTCTAACATTCCATGATTAAGAAAAAAACGATTTTTTATATACATTTTCAACTTCAGAGGTGGAAAAGTTATATGTCTCCTCATGTAACCCCTTGAAATCTTATATATATTATAGTCATGAGTATCTGTTAACACTCGAAACAAAAAACCATTGCGAATTCAGTGCACATCTATTTTATTTTATTTTTTTCAGATTTAGTTATAACCATAAAAAGAATTGAGTTTTTCGAAGTTTGGTTGAAATATTCGAAACAATCAAGAAATAAAGAGTTATTAAATTTTGTTCTATCAAAATATGATTTAAGTGAAGTAACGGAGCATTCTTTAAGAGATTTAACCATAAAAGTTGCGGCATATTCGTCAAGGCTTTCTGAGAAATGGAAGAGCTCTGGAAGACATCGGGGACGGTTTATAAATAAAAACTCGGAGTGGTTTTCGGGTACAGATATGACTTTTACAGTTTCTGTACATTTAAACTTGCCATCAGAACTACCAGCTACATCTTTAGGTAACCCAGGCCCTGGGAGACTAAAGAAGGACTTCATTCATTCCAGTCAAAAAACTAAACGGCGTCGAGTGGATGACTTACTGCAGTCCAGATGTGCAGATGAGTTAATTTATGCGGCAGAAGTATCAACACGTATGTCCGGAATAGGAACAGGAATATTGCAAATATTATAAAAAATGCGAAAGTTAACACTAAAGTATCCACGGCGAAAACAATATGTGAGCAAAGTGCTAGATGTTTGAGCAGTGTAGAAGCTTTAGCATACTATGTAGATAGCAAGTCGACTACTCATGCGTACAAAATGACTCGGAAGTGGAGTATCCAAGCAGGTCATAAGGTATTTCCGTCGTTTTACAGTGTAAGAAAGGCTAAATCAGAGTGTTATCCAAACAAAATTGATGTGGATGAAACACGTGCCGAAATTAAAGTTCAAGCTATTTTAGATAAAAGTGTTGAACGTTTAATTTTAGCAAATCAAGAAGTTCTTAGTAGTTTGTTACCTACATGCTTGTCATTTACTCTAATCAGCAAGTGGGGTTGCGATGGAAGTTCTGGTCATAGCACATATAAACAAAAATTCACATGCAGTGATGACACTGATGAGTTTTTGTTTATATTTTCTTTCGTACCCGTCCAATTACGGGACGAAAAAGGTAACATTGTTTGGCAGAATCCTCGACCTTCTTCTACGATGTATTGTCGTCCAATTAAATTTATTTTTTCCAAAGAAACAAAAGATTTTATCGTTTCTGAGACGAACAAAGTATTAGAGGAGATAAATGCTTTGTTGCCAACAAAGTGCTTGGTGCAAGAATACGAGGTTTCTGTGAACCACAATATGCTCCTAACAATGATTGACGGAAAAGTTTGTAATGCTTTGACTGAAACTTCCTCCGCCCAAAAGTGTTATATTTGTGGTGCCACTCCAAAAGATATGAATGATGAGACACGGGTTTTTATGCCTAGCCGCGATCGTCTTGGTTTTGGTTTGTCTACTCTGCATGCATGGATAAGATGTTTTGAATGCTTGCTTCACATTAGTTATCGGCTCGAAGTAAAAAAATGGCAACTTCGGAACGAGTCAGATAAAGCTAGTGTAAAGCAACGTTCACACGAAATTCAGAATAAATTTAAAAGTACACTTGGATTAATAGTAGATAAACCAAAACCAGGATTCGGTAATACTAATGATGGCAATACTGCTCGTAGGTTTTTCGAAAATTCTGAAGTTAGTGCTGAGATTACGGAATTGGATGTAACGCTCATAAAAAAATTTGATACTCTCCTTCGAGCATTATCATCTGGGTACAATATTAATATTGATAAGTTTGAAATATTTGCGCGTGAGACTAAAAAACTATACACAGATCTCTATCCGTGGTTCTGTATGCCTGCTACAGTTCATAAAATCTTGGTGCACAGTACTGATATTATAAAATCAGCAATTTTGCCTATTGGCCAGCTTTCTGAGGAAGCCCAGGAAGCTCGTAACAAAGATTTGAGACGATTCAGGGAACATAACACACAAAAGCAGTCGCGTGAAGCCACGAATAGAGATCTTATGCATATGTTGCTAATAACATCGGATCCCTTAATAAACAGCTTCAGAGAGATACCAAAGAAAAGACTTAGAAGCCTAAACTCGGAAGTCTTAGATTTATTGTCCCCAGATAGTGTTAAGGAATCAGTAAATACGCCAATTGTTTCCAGCTTTCATAGTTATGCCACTGATGCTCATGACTATTCCACGAGTGACTCATCCAATGAAAGTGATGATGATTAGACTTTATTTTATTTTAACCTATTGTTTCTTCAATTCTGTATTATACTTTTCTACTTTAAGTGTTTGTAATAATTTATTTTCACAGATACAGAAAAAAACAAATGTATACAAACTAAAATTTTAGAAAAAATAAACAAATACAACATATGACTAAAATAAATTACAAAACTAAAATAAATGACTGCATATCGACGGCTGAGTGGAAGATCGACCTATCTCGGCTGCCAGTTCGAAAACGCCCTATCTCAGAAAATTTTTCAACAACGCTCTATCTAATAAAACTTTTCAAGAACGCCCTATCTCAGCTGCCGATTCAAAAACGCCCTATTTCAGCTTATTTTCAATGTATTTTCGTTCGAGATAGGGCGTTTTTGAACCGAATTCTCAGATAGGGCGTTATTCAACCAAATTCTGAGATGGGGTGTTTCTCAAAAAATTCTGAAGTAGGGCGTTCTTGAAAAGTTTTCTGAGACAGGGCGTTGTTGAAAATTTTTCTGAGATAGGGCCTTTTCGAACTGGCTGCCGAGATAGGTCGATCTTCCACTCAGCCATATATTAATATTGTAATATTTTATTAAAATATTTTATATAATCCAATTTGGGCTTTTAGAAGGGTGGCAACGATTTTCAAAAATATAACCGAAATAATATTTTTTTAATCCTCTTTCGTTTGACACCTATACTGTCATATTTTATTATTAAAACTGAATTTTACTTTTTCAACAGGTGGCAACCCTCTTAAAAAATGTTCCTTTTGTTAATAAAATTACATAAATTGAGTTCTTGGATATAGAGGAAACGTAAAATCTTAGAAAATAATTTTGTCCAGCTAGCTTGTTCTAGACGGAACACTGTGCGGCGGCGTGGTCAACTTGAAAAAGAATTGGCAGCGGCGGCGATGCCGGCGCGTCTGGAAACGCCGGCGGTACTGCCCATAAGGTAGATTCCAAACAGACATGAAGCTACTAATCTTATCATGTGATCTCGTCAGCGTTAGGCATTGGCCATGCTAATTCAGATTGTAATTGTATTTAATTAATTCATGGAATTAGTTTTAAACTAAAATTACGTTACTTTCTACTTGAATTAAAATGTTGAGTGTCTGCCGCTGATGGATGGGAAAACAGAAGAAAGTCCGACGCATATAAATACATCTCCATGTTCTCTACAAATCCGTATATACTACTTAAATTTAAAGAATTAAAAAAATTTCAAAAGTTAAGTTATTGGGGTAATTTATGTCGCCTTCAAAAATGTTTGCAATAATCTTATCATCCGTTATGTTAAATTTCGGAGTTGTTTCGATTTTTTGCGGGTTATATATTGAAAACAAGGTTTGATCAACTTCCACCCGAATGGGCCTTTCTGACCAAGTGTTAAAAAATTGCTTATAGGTGGTTAAAATATCCACTATAATATTAAGCGCCAAATTTCTCTAAGGAGAACTGAATGTTATGAAAAATAATAGTAATTTTTACGAAAAAGGGGAACTTTAACCCTGACCACCACTTAGGAACAGGGCTTCCAACTATACTTAGCTATGAAGTGCCTTATTGAGGATAAAAAAAAGCCAAATGTGCCAAATAGAAAAATAAAAGTGACAAAAAAGGTGCCATCCTTTTTAATCTTTCCCATTTAGCATTCAAATTAGAATCACATATCTAAAACAAAAGTCCAATGCCAAAGTAAGATAAACCAGTTGCATACACTATATAAATTAGAAATTTTTAGTTGAGAAAAAGAAGTACACGCAAAGGATTTCACAAAAATGTACTGAAATATTACTATTTTTCAAAAGTGCCATTTTGGCACTTTGTGCCAAATTGAAAAATTAAGTGCCATTTGAAGTAAAACAGGGCCAAAAATGGCACGGTTTGAGCCAAGTTGGCAGCCCCGCGTAGGAATGCTAACGTAATTTTCACACAGCCACCTACTTAGTAATTGTATACGTCTGCGGGACCCCAGAATAAAGTAACTTACGAATGTAAAAATTAGCAAAAAAAAGTGTTTGCTTTTTATTAAAATTCTGTTTAAAATATTAAAAAAAAAAACACAGGAAATCAACAAGTCTTTGTTTTATCGCCAATAATTAAGGATTTAGATGCAATAAGGGCGCTTCTGTTAAAACTGCTTTCTGAGATATTGGCGTTAAAGTTTTTGATGTGTTATAACTTTCTTGTTGTTGTAGTATATAAAAAGATAATATTGTTGTAGTATTGAAAAAAATTAAGAGTATTCGAATTTAATTTATCTGTAATAAACGCTTTCGATCGAAAAACGTGTTACCTATGTTTTTTCTGAGTTACGCCTTTTTGGAAAT